TAAAATAGGCGTTAAGATGTTCAAACTCCAAATAGATACCTTTTGCAAGGACGGGTGGTTAATGTAGACTTTGTGTTTGAACATCTTAACGCCTATTTTATTGCCATTAAGGGTAAAACTTATTTATATTTTGTATACTTTGGTACTGGCAAAAAGGCCCCATAGACACAAGATATTCTTTGATGAAAAATTGCATCTGAAGGGAAAATTGCCCTTACGTACTCACTCAGATCGATGGCGTTCAAGCGACCGATTTTAAATTCCAAACATTTTCCTCACGACGTTCAGTTGATGCTCACGGTGTTTGCAATTAAATACTAACAGCAGCCTGGCAGGGCACTGGAGCACAGTGTTCCCGAGAGTATGAGGACCATTGATGAGATTTTAAGCATGTTTTATTATTTTTAATAGGATATGTTGTTTGTCTCTTAACTGTGATTCTTAAATACGTTATTGTTATATTCTTTGGGTCTTTCGGTAAAGTCACGTAGATAGGTTTAAGAAAGAACAAGAAATAAAAACTACGACGTTTCGATCGCAACACACGTGTTTGTCATCAGGAAGAATGCTTGTGCTGCGATTGACACGTCGCAGTTTAAAAAAAAATGTTTTGTTATTTTCTTTTAACCTATCTACGTGACTTTACCGAAAGACCCAAAGAATATGAATTCCTGCAGTCACGAAAGCTTTAAGTCAAGATTTAACGTTATTGTTAATTTTAATGTTAGGTTAGTAATACTTCGTCTATGCTCTCCACTTGCCTGGGTGAAAAGTGGGGTTCGGTGTTGCCCAATCCTGGCCAGCTGGCTCAACAACTGAACAGACGAGCTCGCCAATCAGACGAGCTAACTAATCAGACTCACTAACCAGACTAATTAATCAGACTAACTCACTAATCCTGGATTCTCATTCACGATGGTCTCATCGGTAACTGCACAAACCACCAGGCATAGAGATTCGCATTTTACATTTGGATAATTCTCCCTGTCGAGCTTAATAATTCTGGTGATTGGCATACAATATTAATAAAAAAAATTCAGTTCCAGATTTGGAATAAGCCAGGAATTAAAAGGCCCAACTCGTGTGCTTTAAGAACCCTTTTGAAGTGACTTGAAAAGAGGTGCTGTAATGCTTCTGTATTTACCATTTGGCACCATCCTCTAGCACTGGGTGATGCACTGCTAGCTCCAGAGTTCTATATCACATGACATGTTGAGAGCACAATTTGAATAGAATTTGGAAATGAGGACGTGTATGTATTTTATTCATCCGAGATGGGAAGCGTGGCCCAAGTTGACCCCACGATCAGGATTTGAAGTCGTAAACTTCCGCTTGTGAATCGCGCACTCGACCAGCCGCCCCGCTCGAGCAGCTGAACCTCACAGCCCAGCGGCGTGCAGGGCACACACCCTGGTGCCAGGCATGCGACGGGGGACCCCTCTCTCCGCCTACCCCCCCCCCCGCACCTAGCCGGCAGTGTTGCACCGCACTCGATAGCCGTGCCACTGCCCAACTCGAATTGGGTGTTCTTGTGAATGAAGGCGCGACGATTACGAGCACCGTTTTGTGCGGCGTTCCTTGCGCTTACGCCGAGGGATTTCTCTTTTCGCCTCGCGCCTCCGCGATTCTGGTGGAACAAAATTAGGATTAAACTTGAGCCGATAAAATCCACACATCCTGCTGTATGGCCGTGGCACTCAGAACTCGTGAGAGAGGGGTAATGTGTGTGGATTAGAGCAGTGGTTCTCAACCGGGGGTACGCGCACCCTTGGGGGTACGTGGCAATATCCCACGGGGTAGGTGAGGTGATTTATTAATGTGTGAAATTATATCATACGTGAGAGTCATCGGTGAATAATCACGTATGTATATGGTAACCTTATAAACTCATTGATCGTAAACAATGTGGGTTACAAGAGTAACTATCGAGCACAAACAAATGACGTCACGCACGCAGAGCGTCCGTTGAATTAGATGTTGTATTCACTTGCCGTTACTCGCAAGTTAAGATATCTCACAAAACGGACAATTGAAGCAATTGGTGGGACCCCGGGGTCCCATCACTGCCCCGGGGTGGGAAAAACCGCGTAGCGACACGAGTCTTGCCTTACCGACAACAAAACTAGTGGTCAATCGATTGGCCTCGTCGAGAGCTACTCGGGGTCACTAAGTTTCGTAAAAAGTTGAAAAATTACATAAACACGTTAAATTCACCGCCTGGGGGGTGGGGCTCGCCTTGGCAAAGAAGCTGAGGATCGACGGCTGACCGGAGGGCGTCGTCGCCGCGCGCGACCGCGACGGACGCCCCCCGGGGCTTGCGTTTGGCCGGTGGGGTGGCGCCCATCGTGTCGATCGCCGCCTGCTGCTGCTGGCGCTTGTTGGCGCGAGTCTGGGCGGGCGGCGCGTGGCTGGCGGGGTCACGAGTGGGCGGACTGAAAAATAATAATTATTGACTTGATTTTTGCGGGACCCCGGGGTCTCGCCAAATGATTCAATTGCTTAAAATAGAGATGTTCATTATTTACATATTTATTTCTCAGAACCATGTTGGGTCAGGCAAGGGAGTAGAGTAGCCAAAAAAAGGTTGAGAACCACTGGGTTAGAGAAGAGGGATTGGAGACGTCTCTGCCGAGTGGAAGAACACCGCCGTGTGGGCAGGGCGCAAGCGGGGAAAGGGGCTGTAAGGGGGCAGGAAACACAATCAAACGTGGCGCTCACCGCACCCAGCCATCTTTAATGAGACCCGCGGTGTTTGGGAGGCACGGGCTGCTGTAGTTGTGGTCACGATGTCGAAAGTTAAGGACGGCCGGCACTGCTGCTCCCGATTCATTAAGCGCCGATTGCACCCTAGAGGCTGCGCGCACGCCACGAGGAGAGGCGCGGCTCACGCAGCGCTCGCAACGCCACGTGAAGTAGTACGCTGCTTTTTCGATCGTATTACATTTTTTTCCTCCCCTTTTAATCAAACGTCATTACTCGTCCGTTGGCAGAACCGAATGAAACGTGGGTGGCACAGGGGGAAGGAGAACGATGACGTGCGGTCATGATTGAGAGCTCGCGGTAATTAGTGGAGCTAATTTTTCTCAATCCATGAAAGGGATTCTATTTTTTGATGCTTGGCTGCAAGCAGTCTGCATTCTGTTATCTCCATGCTGCAGTAGTGCCCTGCAGTGATGTGTTCTCTCATTACTTTGGGATGTTCTGGAAGACTCGGATAAGGTGGACCGGGGTCCGAACAGACAGGGTGCCTGCCCGCGGAGCCACTTTGCCAGTTTTATCTCTGCTGCAGTCACCGGGTGAACCCTGGGGGGACAGGCCAGGGCACTACACAGTGGAATATTGGTGTCAAATCACCAATGATGACGTTTCCTTCCAAAACTCCTCGACAGTGAGCTGTGCACCACTCTGTGCCAGGGAAGGGCTACTGATAACGATGCTAAGCTTCCTCCGATAGGTATCTCGGCAAAATAACGAGGTGGGGGAGGGGCAGCACTGGTGCTAGCGGCGGGGGGGGGGGGGCGCTGCACCCCCACACGGTGAATTGAGGTGATGGTGCCCCCCCAAAAAAGCAGCTCTGCTGCCCCTCCACCCAGCTAGGGCCACGCCTGATTTGGGGGGGGGGGGGGGGGTATACATTTAATGTCAATACAACCAAACAATTGAATTGTAACGCACCCTGGGATAGTCAGTTGGCGTTTCTTAATTATTTACACCTTTTTTCCATCGTCTTATTGTGCCCAGAACCTTGTGACCGCGTATGTCTGTGTGCCTACGCACAGTCATTTCCATGTCCACGCCTTTCGGAATGTGGAATTTCCACCACGGAATGCGGCGCTGCCATGAGAGATGAATGCTGATCGATGTGCTTTGGAGTGGGCGCCACGGTGGAGAGATGTTAACTACCTCGCCTAGTATACAGGTCGTATGTTCGCCTCCAACCCTGACATCTGCATATTTGGAGTTTGCATCTCTCTCCCCGTAGTCGCCTTGATTTTTCAGTGGTTCCTCCGGTTTTTGCCTCCAAGTTTAGAATCAACAACCACGTGTTTAGAATATTTGGTTGCTATAAATTTCCACGTGCTAATAAGCCACTTCGTTGGGCTATTATTTGTGGCCAGGCCGCTTCTGATAAAGAAAAAAAATGTTTATAGTTTTTAGTGTTATAGAGTGGGGAAATCGTTTCACTACGTTGCAATTATTGCACGTGTGTGTCCGTGTGTGAGCGCATCCCGTGTGTGTGTGGCGCCCAATGTTTTTCCGCGCCTCCAGTCCGTTTCTGACCCACGAGGAACACGTTCAGAAGAGTAACTGCGGCGTGCTCGAGTTCTTCTCCAATCGTTCTTTAAACAGCGGGAGCAGATGGCAAGACAGGGGCAGCCAGTGATAGAGACGGACAGAGAGAGAGGGGCACATTGAGGGAGCGGCCCTGCAGTTGCCGGATAGCCTCCGTCTGCCCGACGATGCTGACGGTTCAAGCCGACACAAGACATTCCTCCTGATAGTTTGGCAACACCCTTGGTTTTAGATTTTGCCGAATTGTGGACATTTTATTTTTGACAAAGGGTAAGAATCAGTTGAGCAAGTTGGAATCTGCAAATCGTGATGAAACCGATCAATACAGAACAATTATTGTTGTTGTTCTTGTGTCGGTCAATTAACGCGGGCACTGTGTGTACAAAAAAGCTCTCCGCTTCACGCATTGTGCAAAACCATCAATTCCTGAGGAACCGCATTGTGGTCATTGTTTTTGGTGATCCGATTCGTGTTGTTGATGCTCATCTTGCCTCTATCGTTTTGAAATCAAACTTACCCATAACACCCTTGTCAATGTGACCATGTTTCCTGTCATATTAATGCGATCTTCATAATAAAGCCCTCCTGCCACCACTACTCTGTCTTACTCTCAAAGCCGGCAGTGTCGCCAGCCTCGCTGTAAATCGTGCGATACAAGTCACAGAGTGAACGTTACCTCCTTCACACCGCGTGCCTCTGTCCCACAGGTACCTACTTGGAGACCTTATCCAGACACATTGGCTTTGTTAGGTAAGTGCACGCACACACACACACACTGTTTACTACTTTAGCCAAGAACATGTTGATAGCAAGCGCTGTGAACGAGCACCACCTATCAAAGTGAACCTTGCACACGCACAGCGGTCGCGTGCTCAACGCCGAGGCTGGCGATCGTTGGCCCGGCTGCTCCGTTCCGTCGTCCGTCACGACCACAGCTTCCCTGCCACCAATAGATACGTAGGGGTCACCTCAGCCCATCATTTCTCCACTGTGGGCTAAAGCAGTGTCTGTGAGGAGGAGGCGGAATTCTTCGATGGAGTCGTGGGGAAAATCCACCCCGGGTCGCCTCCGATGGTGATGGGCTTGCTCCATGCCATTGCTCGCTGGAGGGAAACGCAGCTGGTTTTGAAAGAGCATTCATCCCAACATTCTGCACAGTTTAAACTTGCCCTTTACATAGATGCACACTCACACACGCACGCACAACAGCCGCTATTTGCCAGGAAGTGGCGGTGCCATGGATCGACTGACTGATGAATGGCCGATGCACCGCCTGTGGCCTCTACTGTGCCAACTTGCTGCGTTTTAGCCGCCCGGCACTCCGCTCGTTGTTGTGAGAGTCGCTCTTCTGCCCTCCGTTGTTGCTGCCCAGTAGCAGCGGCCTTAACGAGCCTCCTCCACAAAGACAAAGAACCCCCGTGTAGCCTTAGACTGTAAGTGCTGTTAGCGAGCACCTATGAAGGCCGAAACGGTACACGAGGGGGTGGGTGGCCAGCACCACGCCCGGCCGCCTTTGTCTCCCCAGTCGCGATGTCTACACACCGCACGAGGTCCTCGTTTGAGGCTGAGTCGACCTAGGGGATGCCCAGGACCGGTTCAGATAATTGTCACTGATGTTGGCCGTGAGCGGAAATCGAACTCGGGTCATCAGGTTCGTAGCGAAGCGTAGCACTAACCGCTACACCACCGCTCCCCACACACATACAAACACCATCACACACCAACACACATACCATCACACACATACCAACACACACACACACCAACACATACACATACCATCACACACACCAACACACACACATACCATCACACACATACAAACACCATCACACACACCAACACACACACATACCATCACACACACCAACACACACACATATCATCACACACACCAACACATACACACCAACACACACACATACCATCACACACACCAACACACACACACCAACACACACATACCATCACACACCAACACACACATACTATCACACATACACACATAAAAACGCCATCACACACACCAACACACACATACCAACACGAACACATACAAACACCATCACACACACCAACACACACACATACAAACACCATCACACACACCAACACACACACCAACACACACATAACATCACACACACCAACACACACACACATACCATCACACATACACACATACAAACACCATCACACACACCAACACACACACACACACCAACACACACCAACACACACACATACCATCACACATACAAACACCATCGCACACCAACACACACACATACCATCACACACATACAAATACCATCACACACACCAACACACACATACCATCACACACACATACCATCACACACACACATACAAACACCATCACACACACCAACACACACACACATACCAACACCATCACACACACCATAACACACACACCAACACACACACCAACACACACACACACCAACACACACCATCACACACACCAACACACACACCAATACATACAAACACCATCACACACCAACACATACAAACACCATCACACACACCAACACACACATACCATCACACACACACCATCACACACACCATCACACACATACCATCACACACACCAACACACACATACCATCACACGCACACCATCACACATACCAACACACACACACACCATCACACTCACGGACTGACGCACGCCCAGCACTGCTGACACCAAGCTGGACCTCCTTGCCTGCAACGCGCCGGGGGCCTCGCCCGAGGCCACGGCGCGGCTCCGGCCTTTGAGAGCTTGAAGGGCGTCGCCGTCGTGGTCCTTGTGTGTTGCAGGGTGCACGAGGCAGACTGGCCTAGCGCCCTGCGTCTCTTCGCCCCCGAGTTCGGGGTGTTCGCCGTCGGCTTCGTTGCCTGGTTCCTGTGCTGGAAGCTGACGTGCCAGCCGGACGCCCGGTCCCCCTGCACGGAGTCACCGGGCGCTGGCAGTGACCAGGTGGATGAGGTGGGTGGCTGTGTGTGTTGTTGGCGCAGTACTAGGGAGACAAAGGCGGCCACCTACCCCCTCGTGTGGCGTGCCAGCCTTAATAGGTGCTACTTGCTAACAGCACTTGCCCCAACAGCTTGTCAATGCTCTACAGGAGGATCTTTGTCTCTTTGCTCGAAGGGCCCCAGATGCCCAAGCTGGTCCTGCGCCTTGTTGGGGCAGGCCCGGCTGCCCCCGTGGCTCACCGTCCCCGCTGCTCCCTTGGCTCACCGTCCCCGCTGCCCCTGTGGCTCACCGTCCCCGCTGCCCCTGTGGCTCACCGTCCCCGCTGCCCCGTGGCTCACCGTCCCCGCTGCCCCCGTGGCTCACCGTTCCCGCTGCCCCCGTGGCTTACCGTCCCCGCTTCCCCGTGGCTCACCGTCCCCGCTGCCCCGTGGCTCACCGTTCCCGCTGCCCCCGTGGTTCACCGTCCCCGCTGCCCCTGTGGTTCACCGTCCCCGCTTCCCCGTGGCTCACCGTCCCCGCTGCCCCCGTGGCTCACCGTCCCCGCTGCCCCCGTGGCTCACCGTCCCCGCTTCCCCGTGGCTCACCGTCCCCGCTGCCCCCGTGGTTCACCGTCCCCGCTGCCCCTGTGGTTCACCGTCCCTGCTGCCCCCGTGGCTCACCGTCCCCGCTACCCCTGTGGTTCACCGTCCCCGCTGCCCCCCGTGGCTCACCGTCCCCGCTACCCCTGTGGTTCACCGTCCCCGCTGCCCCCCGTGGCTCACCGTCCCCGCTGCCCCCGTGGCTCACCGTCCCCGCTGCTGGGCCCCGTCTGAGTTGTCGCTCTCCCCCCTGCCCTGACCCCACTCCCCACCCACCGTCTACCCTCACATAGTTGTTGTTGTTGTTGTTGTTTTTTAAAGTGTTCCTGAGATCCTCTATGCATTGCAATCATTGTTGTGAAATATAGACTGTCTTTGAAGGAACACTTGCGCCGCCTTGAAACACTGCCAACCGTAGTACATCCTGGGTTATTAATCCTGGGTGGATTGTGTGAGGTCACAGGTATTCTAGAACTCTGGATAGCGTGGTGCCCAGAAACCGCATGACCAAGCAGCCCTTGCAGAGGTGGGCTAATGTGGCACCAGAGGACTTGGAGCTGAGTGGACTTGCCGACAGCTGGTATGAGTGGTATCGAGATCGGCCTCCGTGGAAGAGGCTTGCGAAATGGGCTGCTAGGCCGCCTGCCAGCAGCCGTTTTCCAGTAACGGCGGCGAGGCGTAGGAGGAGCTGGGAAGTCGTCGGACGGTGAATCTGCAAGTTAGCATTGCCCATGATCACTGGGCACTTGGATGAGCCCCATAACCTGCCAGCGAAATCTGCCGCTCCGATCTCGCCCAGAAGTGGCAACGAGCAGCCAGGCCCACTTGGGTGTCGTGCGTCTGTGCGTGTGTCAGTGAATGCAACTCGTGCCTGTGTGTGTGCGCGTGCGTTTTTGCTCAAATGTATATGTGCGTGTTCATCTGTTGGTGTTTACTGTGTGCGTGCCCCTGTGTACGGAGTGCGTGAATGCGTATCCAAGTTTTCGTGTGCACGTATGGGGAGCAATAATTTAGTAGTGTGCTGCGCTACGAATCTGGCGACCCGACTTCGATTCTCGCTCAGGGCTAACACTAGTCACGATTATTTCAACCGGTCCTAGGCCTCCTCTAGGTGGGCTCAGCCACAATTGAGTACCAGGTATATGTATGTTTAACTTGTTTCGCACCGTATATAGCCAATCATGTTAATCGGAGGTGCGGGTTATCCAGACAGCATGTAAACATTGCCACGAGGGAGACAAAGGCGGCCGGGCGTGGTGCTGGCCACCCCACCTCGTGTGCTGTGCTGGCCTTAATAAGGTCCTCGCTCACAGCACGTCCGCCCCAGCAGTCTGTTAAGGTTACATAGTGGGGATTTTTGTCTTGTGAACTTGTGAACACATCCCCCACGCGTGCGTGCGTGTGAACGTGCGCGCGTGCCGGACGCGTAAGGAGGCCGAGGCTGCGGATCTGGACGAGGACGACGCGGAGGGAGGAGACGAGGCGGACGATGAGTACGAGGAGGAGGGCAGCTTGGCGGAGGGGGGGGCGGCCTCCGATGCGGAGGGCCCCGGCGGCCTGGCGGAGGAGCCCGGCCGGCGGGAGATCTTCCTCGCCCGGGCGGCCGCCTTTGCCTCGCGCCTCAAAGAGCTCATCGGCAAAATCATCACCACGGCCGGCAAAGTGGTGGCCACGGTGATGCTCGGCCTCGCAGGTACCGCGCCCGTGGCGCTGTTCTCGTGGGCGTGGGCGTGCATGCGTGGTTGTGACGGAAGTGGCGTGTGTGTGGGTTCGGGTTGGAGTCTAATCTTGCACGTGGCAAGATGTTCAGGAGCTCGTGTCGAGACCTGCCAACCGGGACGAGAGGGCTTCCGCAGTTGGAGGAGCGCAGACAAAACTGGTTTACTTATGAGGTCCACAGTTTGGGTGGCATGTCTATGTATGTATCATTATGGGTTTACTACATGGGTTTGCATGGCCATAATCGCACTCCTGTGGCTTGTATTTAATTTTAATGTTTTTGTTGTTGCAAAAACTCAGCCCTAAATTTGAACTAAACGAGGAATTCCACTGACAATAAGTCTCTTCTGCATGAATCCTGCGATGTCACGAGGGATAGTGAGCCATAACGGTCCGCTATAAGCAAGCCGTGCGGCCCGGTTGGCGCTGTTTTGTCGTCGTGACGTCAAGAAATCATCATGACGTCATTGTGACGTCGTCGAAACATTGACGTGCCGTCGTCGTGTCGTGTCGTCATTGTGACGTCGTGTCATCATCGTGAAGTTTGTCGAGACATTGTCATGACGTTGTGTCGTCATCGTGATGTTGTCGTGTCATTGTCGTGACGTCGAGACGTCGTGTCGTCGTTGTGTCGTCGCCGTGACTTTGTTGTGACGTCGCCGTGTGGTCGCGTTGCCACGCAGGCGTGATCGTGCCGTCGCTCACATCGCTCGCCTACTTCGTGCTCTTCATGGCGCTCTGCTCCTGGTGGGCGTGCGGCCGCTCCATGCCGGAGCTCGCCTTCGGCTGCGTGTGCGTCGCCACGGCGCTCTTCAGCGCCGGCCACCTTCTCGGCCTCTACATCTACCAGATGCCAGCGCTGCAAGAGCTGGTGCCGCCCGGCGACCTGAACGCACGGTACGCACCCCCAACCCCCACCGCACCCCCCCCCCCCCCAGATCTGGACCGTACTAACTGAACGTGAGCGCAAGGTGGGTGGCGGGCGTGAGCATTGACAAATAAATTTACTTATTTTTTTGCCTATAAGGCAATGTTACAGAGGCATTTGTTGGCATATTCACCTACCTTTTACACAGAGTGTGACCGACGGACACTTATGAATTACACCGAGAGATACGGATATAGGTTACCTGCCACTACTGCACTCGACCCTGGTCCGCTCCGGAATGATGCAGTCCGGTTCAAATGTTGACTCCCACCACGGCGTTCCGGGACGTTCCGCTCCATTTCCACACCTGCCGACCGTGTACCTGCCCTTATCTCTCTGTCTCTAATTCCTGCCCATCTGTCTCCGACTCTCGCTCCCTGACACACGCGTGTCTGCATGCACAGCCCTGATGGATGAAGGCCTCCCCACGCCGTACTGGTCATTGGGGCTATTTGACCATGCTTCACCATGCTGGCCATAGCTGGTCGTTGAAGGTGGGGAGCATAGATGTTGGTGCATAGTACAGTTCAACAATGCATTTTTTTGCACTGCCCTCCACTGACAACGTAAATCCACAACTGCTGCCTTATGTAAGGCCGAGGCGCCTGTGCCGGCACTATCCCGGCTCAAACCGTGCTTGGCTGCTGAGGTCTAATTAGATCGGGCACATTTTTATTGACATGGTCACCGACTCCACAAACTACAACTTGAATCTCTCCCGAGTGACCGAGAGCGCTGGCGTGTTGCCGTGTGGGTCCAGTCCCACCTTGCCCGCTGCCCTCCCGAGGACTCCTCGTGTTTGTCCCTAGTTGTCGATATATAAGTTCACCAGTTGCGGGTCATTGTAAACAAACAATCTCTTTCAGACGACGGAACCCTTGTGAATGGCAGTGCCACCGCGATGCCTGTTATGTCCACTTCACAGCAGATGGAAGAAAAAAAATCACCGTTGGCCAGTAGTAGCGGGAATCAAACCGTAAACGTCTATGCACCCTGGCTCGGGGCGAGCAAATTGACAGCTATCGCACTGAGCCACAAACTGTGGTTGTCAGTTTTTAGGGTGCCCCTGTAGCAAGATGTTAGCGCTCTTGCCGGGTATACAGGAGGTCGTGGGTTCGATCCCGTCCCTGACGCCTGCTGCTGTATATTTGGAGTTTGCGGTGTCTCTCTCCCCGTGGTTGTGTAGATTTTTCTCCGGGTCCTCAGGTTTTTCCCCTCCACATTTATAATCAACATCACGCGTTTAGAGTATTTGGCTGATATAAATTTACACGTGATAGGCCACTTTGCTGGGCTGTCATTTGTGGTCAGGTCGCGACTGACAAAGAGCTATATAGCTCAGTGGGCTTTACCTGGTAAAAATACGTAAAAATATTGAATAGTTTTAGTTTAGTATTTACATATTACCCTTATGAGAGGTCATGTGCCCTACAGTGAGGCTCATGGTCCTTGAGGCTCCATTACACGTCAGGTTTACAAACACGTCGGTAAAAGAGCAGGTCTTTCTCTCATCACGTTATCAAGAAATGTGCGAAAGTGGCGCCTTGTCTCCAGGTCCCATCCCTGGCAGCCTCTCTGCTCCTGGGCAGATAATGCTCTCCCTACAAAGTGACAGCTGTGTTAATAAAGTGCAGGCAGCTGCGGCCGTGCGTATGCCATTGTGTTGCTGCCCGTCGCTGGAATCGGTCATCCATATCTCACCCGCTTTAATTAAAAAATAAAACCGCACTGCTGTGCTGTCAGATTATTTTTGCATCTTAAAAAATATATATTTCTAAGCGTAACTTAACATTATTGGGCAAGTTTCACACTGACGTTGGCGTGTTGCCTGAAGATTCCGCACTAACGTTATAGTCCTGGCCGTTCCGCCTGTGCTGTATGGTCCCTATGTCACCATTGTGAGTCGTACAGTCCGTGTCTTCCCACTCGATGCACACACACCTCCGATTAGCACTGTTGGCTACGAACGGTGCGGGAGAAATTTCAACATACATATAGTGCGTATGAATGGGCTCTGTTGACTGGTTCGTGTGTCAGTGGTGCATTGCCCACTGAGCCAGTTGGTGTGGAGTTAGCAGTTCAACCCCAACCACCGGCACTCAATTGTCTCTGGGCTTCTGTGGGTAATGACCAAAAATACGCTGCCGGCTGTAATGCGCGAGTAGCGCACCCTTCGGAGTCGCGCACCTTGCGACGATGTCACCATTCACAAGTAGCGCACCTTGCGGCGACGTCACCATTCACAAGTAGCGCACCTTGCAACGACGTCACCATTCACAAGTGACGCACCTTGCGACGACGTCACCATTCACAAGTAACGCACCTTGCGACGACGTCACCATTCACAAGTAGCGCAGCTTGCAACGACGTCATCATTCACAAGTAACGCACCTTGTGACGACGTCACCATTCACAAGTAACGCACCTTGCGACGACGTCACCATTCACAAGTAACGCACCTTGCAACGACGTCACCATTCACAAGTAGCGCACCTTGCAACGACGTCACCATTCACAAGTGACGCACCTTGCGACGACGTCACCATTCACAAGTAACGCACCTTGCGACGACGTCACCATTCACAAGTAGCGCACCTTGCGGCGACGTCACCATTCACAAGTAGCGCACCTTGCGACGACGTCACCATTCACAAGTAGCGCACCTTGCAACGACGTCACCATTCACAAGTGACGCACCTTGCGACGACGTCACCATTCACAAGTAGCGCAGCTTGCAACGACGTCATCATTCACAAGTAACGCACCTTGTGACGACGTCACCATTCACAAGTAACGCACCTTGCGACGACGTCACCATTCACAAGTAACGCACCTTGCAACGACGTCACCATTCACAAGTAGCGCACCTTGCGACGACGTCACCATTCACAAGTAACGCACCTTGCGACGACGTCACCATTCACAAGTAACGCACCTTGCAACGACATCACCATTCACAAGTAGCGCAGCTTGCAACGACGTCATCATTCACAAGTAACGCACCTTGTGACGACGTCACCATTCACAAGTAACGCACCTTGCGACGACGTCACCATTCACAAGTAACGCACCTTGCAACGACGTCACCATTCACAAGTAGCGCACCTTGCAACGACGTCACCATTCACAAGTAACGCACCTTGTGACGACGTCACCATTCACAAGTGACGCACCTTGCGACGACGTCACCATTCACAAGTAACGCACCTTGCGACGACGTCACCATTCACAAGTAGCGCAGCTTGCAACGACGTCATCATTCACAAGTAACGCACCTTGTGACGACGTCACCATTCACAAGTAACGCACCTTGCGACGACGTCACCATTCACAAGTAGCGCACCTTGCGACGACGTCACCATTCACAAGTAACGCACCTTGCGACGACGTCACCATTCACAAGTAGTGCACCTTGTGACGGCGTCACCATTCACAAGTAACGCACCTTGCGACGACGTCACCATTCACAAGCAACGCACCTTGCGACGACGTCACCATTCACAAGTAACGCACCTTGTGACGACGTCACCATTCACAAGTAACGCACCTTGCGGCGACGTCACCATTCACAAGTAGCGCACCTTGCGGCGACGTCACCATTCACAAGTAACGCACCTTGCGACGACGTCACCATTCACAAGTAGTGCACCTTGCGGCGACGTCACCATTCACAAGTAGTGCACCTTGTGACGATGTCACCATTCACAAGTAACGCACCTTGCGACGACGTCACCATTCACAAGTAGTGCACCTTGCGGCGACGTCACCATTCACAAGTAGTGCACCTTGCGGCGACGTCACCATTCACCCCACACCTTGTGACGACGTCACCATTCACAAGTAGCGCACCTTGCGACGTCACCATTCACAAGTAACGCACCTTGCGACAACGTCACCATTCACAAGCGTTGGTTCGGTTTTTTTGCTCGCCAGTGTCGAAAACCCAAATGCCAGATTTGTAAACTGTCCTCTTAATGCGCTTAAATGGTGCCTGAGAGAGCATGTGCCCCAGTGATGTTTTCCTGCAAAAAGAGATTCACATGATGACAGATGCAACGATACGCCCCCTCGATAATTCTGTGAATTGACAAAGTTTGAGATCGCGATTTGATTAACAAATGGATTATGTTTGTCCTTGTGGTGCGTGCACAATGTATGATTTTATGAATCTGTAGATGCACAGCGGTATAAATGCGTGGATTTGCCCATGCGTCATTCGGTGCACACGTTGCGAGTGAAGTAACCGATGAATATCGAAGAAATCGATCGATCGCAACGTCCGCAGTGAATATTATCAGCAAATGCTTGCTAACTAACAACTGCTTTCGGCAAAGGGATCTGAAGCTGAGGCGGTGGGCTCAGCACCACCCAAAAAGCCAGAACTATAATACCAGTATGAGGCCAGCGATAGTCCGTGAAGCGTACCACTCAACCTTTCGCGGCCGTCAGACATTCACAAAGGAATTAGGTCCTTGTAGGCTTTGCAGAAGGTTTCTTTATTAATCGCACACTAAAGCAGCTTTAATGAAATACCTAATTCCTGGATATGAACTTTGGCATATTCCCGGGCGGCACTGTGGCAGAGTGCTTGGATTCTCACGGTCTGCGAACGGCGCAAATCCCAGGCTGGGGTTCACTCCTCAGGCCATCGCCAATAACTTCCGCTTCATGGGCAGTCGCGAGCGATTGCCACGCACAGTAACTCGTTTCCCACCATAGTAGGGATGTGGAGTGTTCACATCTCGTTGAGGTTCCCACCGATGGTAGTGAAGAACGACGATTGCTCATTAGAGCAGGGAGACTGAGGTTTTGAAACCAAAGGTTGAGTCTCTTTGGGCCCACCTTGCCTGCTTAAACAGAAGGAACTGTGAAATGCTGCTATGGCGGTAAGTATATTTGGCATCTAGCGATGCATCGATTCACTGATTATAATCGACTCGTGCTCATGATCGATGCTTCAAATGATTAC